TCAGCACTAAAAAATGAGCTATCAAGACATGGAGGAAACAACTATATGACATTCTGGAAAAGGCAAAACCAAGGAGATAATAAAAAGATCAGTGTTTGTATTCTAGTGGTTGAGGGCGAAGGGGGATGAATAGGTAGAGCATAGTGGAATTTTAGGGCATTTATACTATAATGATGCATACATGTCATTTATATATTTGTTCAACCCCACAGAATGTACAATACCAAGAGTGAATCCTAATGTAAACCTTGGACTTTGGGTGATGATACTGTGTTAATGTAGGTTCATCAATTGTAACAAATGTTCCACTCTGTGGGGGATGTAGATAATGGGGAGGCTATGCACGTGTGGGGCATGAAGTATATGGGAAATCTCTGCACTTTCCACTCAATTTTGCTATAAACTTAAAATTGCTTTAAAAAATAAAGTCTATTTTAAAAAAATCAAATGAGTTTGCTAACTATAAAATGAATGTAAAATAAACTAAAATCAAGCAGGAATAATCAACCAGGAAACATAACAGCTTAAAAGATATTATTCATAAAACTAACAAAATAATGTATTTATTCTTCTTATAGACATCTAATAGAAATCTCTAAATCCACGTGTTCAAAACTGAGCACTTGATTTTTACCTTCCAACCTGCTCCTCCTATGGTCTTCCTTGCATCAGCAAATGAGAACACCCAAAACGCCATCCTTCTAGCCTCAGTCAAAAACTTTGGATTCATCCGTGATTACTCTCTCTTTCCTACCTCACATTCAATGAGTCAGCAAAATCTGTTGGTTCTGTTTTCAAAATATACTTACTACTGTAATAGGGAAGAACAAATCTGACTCCATATTGGATCTGTTTCTTTTACTTTAACCTTTGTATTCTATTGCTTTTCTGCAAGTTAAGAATGTTGCCTATAGCCTGAAATAAACAGGATAGCCCATTTTCAAGGCTCTGATCTTTAAAGGTATAACACTTTTTCCATTCACATAGAGATAAAAAGTTGCAGAACAGAGAATAACATTTGTCTTGTTGGAGGTTTACAGGAACATCATGACCTGACCTATGTGGATAGCGGTAAGAACAAAGGATTCCGACATCAAGACGTTTGCAACAACCAACCACATTACCTCCCTTTTTAATATAAAAGAAGCCTGAAGTCTAACTTGGGTAAGATGGTTCTTTGGGACATTAGTCCACCATCTTCTTGGTCAGCTGGCTTTCTGCATAAAGCCACTATCCCTTGTTCCAACAACTTGTCTCTCGATTTATTGGCCTGTTGTACGGGAGCAGTATGAGCTTGGACTCAGTAACACTACTTCTCATCACCTCTACTGCTATCCCTTGGTTCTAAGCCATCATAGCTTCGTCCTTGGTCTCTTCTTTTACCTCTGTCCCTCCTATTGTCTATTTCATGTATAGTAGCCAAAGTAATCCTTTTACATGTAAGTCTGATCCTGTCACCGCTCTGCTTAAAATCTTCCAATGGCTTCTCATCTCATTTGGTATAAAGCCAAAGTATTAAGGTTACACAAGATCTGAACCACTGATTTCTGTAAATTTATGGCTTCCACACTCCTCTTCACTCATTCCATTCTATATATAGTAACCTTACTGTTCCCCTTACAAAGTATGTTACTACCTTGCACTTGCAAGATGGAATATTTTTTTCTCAAGAAATGTATATAACTCACTCTCTCACTTCCTTTAAGTTCTCTTCTCAAATATTTCCTTATCAGCTAGATTTTCTTTGAGTCCCCCACATAAAATAGCAACTCTTCTCTAATGCTCTCCAGAATCCTCCTCCTTGGCATTCTCTATTGCCCTTCTTCTTCATCTTCTCCTTTTAAAAATTGGAATATAGCTGGCATACAATATTATATTAGATTTATGTGTACTAGACAGTGATTTGACATTTGCAGGCGTTATGAAATGATCACCACCATAAGTCTACTAACCATCTATCCCTATACAAAGTGATAACAATATTATTGACCATATTACTTATGCTGTGTATTACATCCCATGGCTTACTTATTTTATAACTGGAGGTCTGTATCTTTTAATCTTCTTCACCTATTTCACACACACCCCTCTGCCATCTCCTTCTCCTCAGGCAACCACCTGTTTGTTTTCTGTATTTATGAGTCTGGTTTCATTTTGTTTTGTTATTTGTTTGTTTTGTCTTTTAGAGTCAACATACAAGCGAGATCATGTGATATCTGTCTTTCTCTCTCTGACTTATTTCACTTACCAAAATAACCTCAAGCTTCATCCATGTTGCTGCAAATGGCAAGATTTCATTCTTTTTTATGGCTGAATAGTACTCTATGTGTGTGTTTAAGTATATACCACATTGTCTTTATTGATTTATCTATTGATGGGACACTTAGGTTGCTTCCATATCTTGGCTATTGTAAATATTGCTGTTATGAACAATGGTGTGTAGATATCTTTTCAAATTAATTTTGTTTTCTTTGGGTAAATACCCAGAAGTGAAACTGCTAAATCATATGGCAGTTATATTTTTAATTTTTTGAGGAACGTTTATATGGTTTTACATAGTGGCTGAACCAATTTACAATCCCACCAACTGTGCATGCAGGTCCCCTTTTCTCCACGTCCTTGCCAACAATTATCTGTTGTCTTTCTGACGACAGCAATTCTAACAGGTGTGAGTGGGTATTGAATTGTGGTTTTAATTTGCATTTCCCTGATGATTAGTCATGTTGATATGCATCTGTTGGCCATCTGTATGTCTTCTTTGGAAAAATGTCTATTCAGGTCCCCTGCCCATTTCTTAATTGGGTTGTTTGTTTTTTTGATGTTGAGTTGTATGAGTTCTTTGTATATTTTGGATATTAACCTCTTACTGAATATATAGTTTGCAAATATCTTCTCCCATTTATTAGGTTGTCTTTTCGTCCTGTTGATAGTTTTCTTTGCTGTACAAAAGCTTTTAAGCTTGATGTAGCCCATTTGTTTATCCTTATTCTTCTTTACTTTCCTCCATGGCACCTAAAGGCCACTAAATGTCCAACAATACATGAATGTATACAAAAAGTGTGGTGTATATGTATACAACAGAATATTACTCAGCCATTAAGAAAAAAAGAAATCTTGCCATTTGTGACAACATGGTTGATCCAGAGAATATTATGCTAAGTGAAATAAGTAGGACAGAGAAAGACAAGTACCACATGATCTCACTTATATGTGGAATCTAAAAAACACACTAATTATTTACCTTTTTTGCTTATTGTCTGTATATCCTCCACTAACTGCAAATTCTATGAGGACAGGTACTCTTTTTTCACTGCTTTAGCCCCAGTAACTAGAATGGTATCTGTTTTACCATATGTATTCAGACATATTGTTGAAAAATAATGCATTGGTTTTTATACTATTCAGTATATTTTTCTTTATGGTTGAAATATATCATAAAAAAATGAAATAAATTCTAAAGAAAAGTAAACTAAAACTTGAATATTCTTCAGATAGCAACATTTCATGTAAATAGTGTAGTATATTCTTCTCTTCCATTCTTAGTATTGTTGTTGATGGGGATAATATATCTGACTTATGAGTACACAGAAAAGTTAGTTGTTTTAAAAAATTATTTATTTATTTATTATACAGCAGGTTCTTATTAGTTATCTATTTTATACTTATGAAAAGTTAGTTTTATATCACAAAGTTTTAGCAAATTGACCCAGAACTCTGAGACTTACCATAATTAGGAATATATAAAGTGACTTGGGGTTTAGTGACATTCAAACAAAAATTTAGTGACATTTTAAACAAAAATCTCATTTCAGATGAGGGTGTAAGGGAAAAGATTTAAAACCACTTAAATTTAAAATGAACAGTGACTTTTCCTAGTAAAATTTTACTTTATCACAAAATGAAAGTCTCACATTACTTGAGTTGTCAATATTCCTATTTTGAGCTTTTAAAATCAACTATCTCTCAATCTTTTTGTTTCACTCAGGAGTTAAAATGTAGTGGACAAATAGCATAGAATATGAGTGACATCAGTGAGAATGGCAGAGTAGGGATCTCAGAAAAGCTGCTCCTCCAAAACATAATGAGAATACTGGCAAAGATTATCAAAATGAACTTTTTAGAATTCTGAAAATTAAACAAAGGTCTGCAGCAATCTATGGAGTACAGTCAAAAGAAACACCTCTATTTCAGTAAGAATGTGAGTTCTGTGGTGCTTTAGTTTGCCCTACTCTCATTTCCTTCTCCTCAGCTCCACCTTAAAAACCAACAGTCTCACAAACCAGAAGTCTAGCAACCACTGGACAGGACAGAGTGGTTTTAGAGCTCCCAAAAAGTATCATTTCAGGGAATTATGATTACTTGACATGTCTTCCAGTTCCCTAGAAACCTCTCCTCACAGTGTTTGCCTTTATTTGACCTGACTCAGGACCCTCTCTGTTCAAAGAGACTTTTCTCTGGAGGTATCTGTCAAAAAGAGTCAGCAGCAATTGTTTAATATTGTAGCTGTCTGAGGTGGCCATAACAGTTGGAGCAAAGAAGAAGCTGATAATAAAAATTAAAAACTAAAATTAAAAGCTGGGGAACGCAATGTCCATAGGGGTATGTGAAAGTGCTAACAGGATTCTGGGAATCTAGAACTCTGTCAATGCAAACATAGGATGTTTGGATGCATAGGAAAGACCTGAGAAGGCCTTAAGCTCTCACCTTTGGTTGACCTCAAGACCTGAAATAGTTGTATGAATACAATCACATATTAGAAGATAGCTA